GTTGATATCACAGCAAGGCTGTAAACCCATAAACACTTTGCATATTCGTCGGTGGAGCAAGCAAAGGTTGGGTGTCGGTAAATTGAGCAAATGTTTGAAAATAAAGTTGAGTCAGAAGTCCTTTAGACAAGAGCAGTGATTCAAACTTCTTTTCTAAGCCTCTAATTTATCATTGTTTGAAGCAGCGCCTTTCTCATCATCAATCTGAGGAAGATTAAACTCCTTAACCGTTACTCTGGTTTTAATCTCAGCATTTCACGTAAACGTTATGTTTAAAGGAAGCATGGCTAAAGATTTGGTTAACCTATAGCTTCCACTGTGGGCTGTCTCTAATTCTATCAAACTACAGCATGCTTTGCTGTGTTAGACCTTTTGTTAACCATGACTTAAATCACATCCACACTGGAAAAAAATCTAAATCTAGATAAGTCCTTTTGTCTTAAAACAAGTGCGTTTTTTGTTGTACTGAGGAGGTAAGTGAGACACTTTGCCAATGGAACAAGACAATTTACATTTAAAATAAGAAAAACACAATTTTATTGTCGTATTTCAAGTATATATTATCTAATTTCCTTATATGAGAGTAAAAATCTTCATTCCATTGGAAAATCTTCTTATTTTTCTGCTCAAACTAAGGGTAAAACCCCTTTATTTAAGACATTTTGACTTAATTCAAGGTTTTTTTTTTTTTTTTTTTTTTTTTTTTTTTTGCAGTGTGGAGTACAGGGCCTTACAAAATAAATAAAACTCCTTTATTTTCATTTTGTCAAATAGCCAACGTTGTTTCAATTCATTAGGATTAAATCTGAAAAACTGTCACCAAGAGGTGCATAATGCTGAAGTGGAAGGGAAATGAAAAAATGACTTTCATTTTTATTTCCTAAAAATAAAATCTGAGAAAATATGCCAAACATCTGTGTTCATCCCTCTCTATACTTTATATATTTTTGTGGTTATTGCTGTAATTCAATGAAAATAAGATTTCTTTAAATGTGACAAACTTTAAATAGACATTTTTCACTTTCTTCTTTGCAAGAGTGCTTAAGCTTAGTTAAGGTCAAGGAAAATCTTATTATAGCTAAGTACTTTATAGCACATTTCCATTAGGTCTAGCAGCACAAAGAGCTTCACATGAACACAAACATTAATGGTTAAAAACCAACCGCTAAAACTAACAAAAACATAACAGCTGTTTAGAATAGTTTCAAAAGGTTTTTAAGCCTCTAACCTTTTTTTTTTTCTTTCAGGATAAACTCTTTATTTAGAGCTATCTTCCCTTTAACGCTGATTAACCCTCATTTTCCTACTAATTGAAACATCCCCACAGCATCATGCTGCCATTATCATGTTTCATGGTGTTTGAATATTTATTACTGTCTCTACTTTAAAAAAAATAATCCTCTATATTTACCGCGTAAACTACATAGAGTATGGGCGATGCAGCTTTGGGTTTTTTTTTTTTATAAAAGGCGTATTTTGGGCTTCCTCTCTGATTACTGCTCTCCTTTTTGGACCTATTATTTAAGTAGACTACCCTGTCTGGTAGAGCAACAATTTTCCTATTCTCTTCCTACTTTTGGTTGAAAAGTGCTCTGTTATTAAAAGCTAGGATAATTGTTTTCTATCCTAATCCTGTTTTCAACTATTTCACAATCCCTCGCTTTTGGCGCTCCTTGGTCTTGGTGATGCTAATGTTCCTTCAAAAATCTCTGAGGTCTTCACAAATAAGAGAAATTGATAAATAACTTACAAGACTAGACTTTCTTCATCTTACAGTATGATTATACATTACTTTGGTCCTTATTAGTTAGCTTCCCAGTAAAATATGCTCACACTTTTACAAGGAACTGTAACCCTGTGAACAACACCAGGGTGATCATTCCTTTCACTGTGTCTCACACCCAGACATTGCAGCTGTCCCCTCTCCCTCTGGGGTCAAAGGGAACATCCCACTGCTTCAGACTAACACCTGTTGGTTCTGTCTTAGTCTGGTCTTCGTAAAGTCAACAAAGAATTCAATAAGTGAGGCTTAGAGCCACGAGGCCCCAGACATAGTAGCAGAAGCACCGGTCAAACCACAGCGGGTTCATAAGATTTTGTGAGGCTGAGAGCTGCGGCGAGGACATGATGCAGAGGGGAAAAATGTAGCAGGAAGTGTGGAAAACAGCTCAGTTTCTTTAGTTTTGGCTCTTTTGGTGTGATGAGTAGCTGCAATCAGTTAAAATAATTGGGAAATAAGGTTCAAAGCGTACAGATTAGATATTTTTCTCAGATTTTCAAAAATCTGGAGCTTAATCTTATAAGGTTTGTACTTTATCAATCAGTTTCCACCCACTTAATTTGCTTGTTTAGTTTTTGCACGAATGTGCATGTCAGCTGTCCATTAGAGGGGAGGAGGTGAACTCCTGCAACACTGAAGCTAAAGGAAAAGTGTCTGAGTTAGATTTAGATTTCGCCCTGTGTCTCCCCCTAGTCAGTGACGGAGCTTTTCTCCCACCAGGGTTCTGCATCACCTCCTTTTTTCTGCCGCTCACTCTCGAACACCCCTCCACTGGCCTTATAATTAACTGCAGTTGTTAATGGGCTCAAGAGGAATTTAGTTTGTAAGCTGATCCTACAATTAGGGCTTGTTGACTTTGCATAAATGTTGGAGGCTGCCCTCCCTGGGGGCGCGGGGCAAAAGAAGAGCGCCTTTGAGGAGCTGCCAGCTTAGACCGGACCTCCTGAGAAGTTGGAGGAGGAAGTAGGGTGTAAAGCACACACAGATGATCTCCTTGCAGCAGCCTTTCCCCTGAACCCTTCGGGTCACTCCGGATATCGGGTCAAACTCAAGAAAGGTAGATAAAGCCTCAATCATCAGCGATTGTCATTAGCAGGGTACGCTTAGTGAAAAGGTGGGAACCTTCTAGGAGCAATTTGCTTACATATTACACCTCTACAGTAGAGTTTTATTTTATTTGTTTTATCTTGAGATTTAAATGACATGCAGGTTTGTGTTTATGTGTGGTTTGTTTTCTTGCTACAGATAAAAAAACAGGATAAGGAGGCAGTGACACCCCCCTCTAAAGTAACTGGTATACATAGTACAACTATGGAAAAAGCTTTGCAGAAAATTTAATTTGTTTCTTTTTGCAGTTCTGTAAACGGTTTTTTTTTTTATTATTCTTTTTTAGTTCCCATTTTCCCCATGGAAATAAACTCGAGCCCTCATCCAGCCATGCTTATTAAGAGCAGTTTAAGTTTTGGATTTGGTCTACATCCAGAAAATTTCAAGGAAAGAATGTGTCTTCTGGTTCACATGTTTATCTTGTTTTTCCATATTTGATGAATCATAAGTCCTTGTACTCTTAAAAATAATGACAATAACACAAATCTAGGTGAGGTATTTTTCTCTTGTATTGAGCAATTTGCCCAAAAAATAGGATGATTTTAATAAAAAATAATTTATTTATTTATATAGCCCCAATTCACAACACATATCATCTCAAGGCTCTTTACAATTTAACCAGATCATACAGTCTAATTGATTCAAAGTTTTCTATCTAAGGAAAACCAGTTGATTGCATCGACTCATTGACTGGAAGGCAATCCCTCACACTAAGCATGCTTGTAGCGACAGTTGAGAGGAAATACTCCCTTTTAACAGGAAGAAACCTCCAGCAGAACCAGACTCAGTGTGAGCGGCCATCTGCTGAGGCCGACTGGGGTTCAAGGAGACAGAAGCAGAGATACAAAAGGCAAGTGTAACCCAGGTCCATGGGCAGACCCGTCCAGGAAACACACAGCCAAGCAGACGGGCTCCGAGCCAGCTCCCATGTCAGAGGATGAGGAGAGCACATCCAGCCAGTCACAGCCAGAGAAACAGGACTACACTGAAAAACAAGCCGATCTCTAACATTTATTAACCAAGGTGTTGATGGCAGCAGCACAGCTGATATTTCTCTCCAGGATGGAGTCACAGCCAAACAGGAACAGACCTGATGAAGGTACTAGACTGCAAAATCTTCCACAAACATTTCTGATTCTGCTTAAAGTGCATCGTAGATCATTTTCAGCCTCGCTGAAACCAAATAGCATCTCTCACATTAAATGACTATTGAGTACCTCTGCTTCTCTCAAAAGAGAAAGTTGAGATTACTCACTAAAAGATGGTAGAACTCCAATGATGTTTCCTGAATAAAGTATGAAATGAAGTGAAAATAAGAACTATTTGATCTCATCAAATCGCTTGCATTAGATCTGTTCTCCCAGTCCAGGATATTTCTTTCAACTGATCATTTTTAGAGTCTCAAAAACACTAATTCCTTTTGCCGTCTATAAAAACAAAATCCTTTTTATGTGCATGGCTTGCATAACCAGAAAATAGGCTGTCCACATTTCTGGGTTTTCAGTTATAATCACACATCAAGCAATTCTTTATAGTGACATTGGTGGTTAAAAAAGAAAGACTGCTTCAGGATCCTGTCCTGCATAATCTGCTCAATTCAAATGGATCAGATATCCTCAGCATCCCAGGAGAGCTGTGTAGAGCATAGCTGAAACACTTAACATTTATAGCACCACTTTATGATGGAGAACAACTGTCAGCTTCAAACTGGGCACAATTTAGTGGAGCCACATGGACTTAAATACGCTAACAAGCAAATCAAGAGTAAAGATGCTAATGTAAGCTCAGTAGTTGTACAGCAAAATGAATTTTAGATAATTATTCAATTCAACTCTGTTTATTTATATCCTGTAGCACCAATTCAAAACACATATCATCTTAAGAAACTTTACAAAGACAATCCAATCAGATCAATTTGACCCTACAGTATTCCTTCATGTGGAGCATGCATGCAGTGACAGTGGAGAGGAAACACTCCCTTTTAAATGGAAGAAATCTCCAGCAGAACAAGGTTCAGCTTTCTGCTGAGGCCTAGAAGCAGATTTACAACTAGTATCTATTTTAAGCCACCTCATCTTGGCTCTATCTGCTTTTCAATCTAGCTGCAACCCACCTCCACATCCTTTATCACCCAAGTCTGCCTTTGACTCCTCTCAGCTCCCTTCCTTCATCTTCCGTTCCACCACATGTGTCCAGGGCCAAGCCATCTCCAAGCATCAGCAGCATATTAAGCTGTCCTGCACACATTCCGGCTGGGACAAAATACTTTATGCTGTGAAAAAAAGGAAAATGTGTCTTGATTGTTATCACCTTTAGTGGAATAGGTTTTACACATTAAAAGTATCTACATAATTTCCACATTTCTTAAAATTACCAAGAACCGTTTAGGAGTAGAAAACCTTGATTGAGGTAGAAATGGTTTCAGTCGTAGTTTCACAGTTATTTCACTGAAATTGTTTGACATGGAGTTGTACTGAATAGTATACATCCTCAAATGAAAGGCTGTATAAGCTTTGTATGCAGCACATAAAAAAGATAGATTTATATTATTTTTTTCAAATGTAACCAAGGCTACAAAACAAGGAAGAGGCTGCTGTAAATTCACCAGCTGAAGATTTATGGTTCCCGGACAGCATTTTCCAATTATATGTTTGTTGTAGCCATTAAGGAAACTTCACAACATATTTGTGGCTTTTCTACGGAAAATAAGCTCTATAACTTCCTGTGTCTTTCTACGGGATGCAACAAGTTACAGCAAGTGGCTAAATGTTTTTCTTCTTCGCCTGTGTTTGTTTCTTCGTAGGGGATTCACCAGGCTGTGCAGCACTTATTGGTTGGTGTTTTATTACTTATGACAATGTCAACTAACCACACATTTACTACTTTTGAAAGATGAAGCAACAAACACTGCAGTGCTCATGCTTGCTTTAGTAGATTCAGAGTCTCATGCTGTGGGCATCAAACAAAAGCAAAAAATAGAGAACACAGACTGTAGTTTAGATTTAAGTAATTGTTAAAACTGGCTGGAATGTATCAGAACAGGAAAACTGAGTTTTACCATAGTTATTTCCTTTTAAAGAAAAAGAAAAAACCTAACAGAGGTTTCTTACTGTTAAAAGGGAGTTTTTCCTCTCCACTGTCGCTACAAGCATGCCTAGTGTGAGGGATTGACTTAGAGTCAATGAGTCGATGCAATCAACTGGTTTTCCTTAGATAGAAAATGTTAAATCAATTTGGCTGTATGATCTGGTTGAATTGAAAAGTGCCTCGAGAGAAAGTGTTGTAATTTGGTGCCATATAAATAAAATTAATTGAATTGAATTAATATGTTTTACGGTTTTATTATTTTTATGTTGTGCAATAATTATACTCAATACCTAATCGGGAGCATTTGTTGTTTGAACCTGGAGAGACTCAGACAGATGGGTGAAAGTTTGTTTGCATGCGTGAGAGAAAAGCTAGGCCAGGAGTTTAATGAAGGGGATTTTGAGGATGATTGGCTTCGGGGAATATGCGGCCCCTGAGATGATTAGCTGGGGCTGAATGAGGGACATCGCAGGTGGTTCAGGTGAAGCTGATAAGAGTCTTCCAGATTGAATTTTCACTCAAGCTTTATTTAAACAAATGATATTCATACTTGTTGTTCTCTGGGCAGGATCAAACTGATAACTCTGCACACACTGAACTCTGCTAATTTGTTTTTGGGTTTTTTTCTATAATCCTCCTGCTGCTGTAAACACCAGAATTTCCCCACTGTGGGACAATAAAATAATTTTCTGTTTTGTTTAAAACTCTTGATTAAACTAGTGGAACTCAACTAAGCTACTACACAAATAAGAAGGAATGGCAAATGTTTTTAAAAAAAAAACATAATCAATACAATGATGCTGTGGACTATGGCTCAACAATATCAAATTATCTGCTTCAATTTCACTTATGATTTTTGTGTTGAGTCTATTTTTGTCAGTGTAGTCCCTTTTTTCTTACTGTGACTAACTGTATGTGATCTCTTTCAGTTCATGGGAACTGTCATGGAGATCGTCTGCCTGGCTGTGTTTCCTGGATGGGGCCGCCTGTGGAGCTGGTTGACAGTTACCTTTTGCACGTTTATTTCCTTCTATATGTCTGCTTCTGCCTCCTTGAACTCCAATCTGCCTTTGCAGACTCACACTCAGCTTCGTTCTGAGTTTCTTTCTGTTAAAAGGGAGCTTTTCCTTTCCACAGTTGCTGTATGCATGCCCAGTTTGAGGGTTTGCTGAAGAGTCAATGAGTACATAAAACTTTGAACCAATCTGACTGTATGATCTGGCAACCTATTCTCATTATGAGTTCGTATGAAATCGTACGAAAAATTATGCACCGTAATTGATACATTTTGGACGTTTTTTTTGTCGTATGCACATGCGCATCTTACGCACCATTCAAGAACATAGAATTTAAAATACAATTAGCCCTAACCCTGACCCTAACCCTTACCCTAAGATATAAAACAGCAAGCAACGTAGTTAGACATGAAGAAGTGATGATTGCACTGTTTTTCCCAGTTTTACGTCCGTCCGCGGATCTGCTTTTTTTGTCTGTCTGCCTGCGCATGCGCACTGATGTGGTTTTTTGAGGAAAAACGTCGAAAATGTACAAAATAGTGTGCATAACTTTTCGTACGATTTCATACGAACTCATGATGAGAATATGTTGGATCTGGTTGAATTGTCTCTGCAAAGTGCCTTGAGATTACATATGTTGTGAATTGGTGCTATATATATGCTGAACTGAATAAAATGAATTGAAATATATATGTCATTTTTAATATATACAAAAAAAGTAGTTTCATTCAGAACTGTAGAAAACTGAGCCCTTTGAAAGCAAACAATGTTTTGCCAAACAGGTCGTGTTTTCATTTGGATAACATTACATTGTTCTTAAGAGGCTCATCAGGTGTTAAGTCTGTTAACAGCAATGATTCACTTTTTCCTCATTTCATAGTCGTAATCACCTCTCCCTGATACTGGTTGTTGTTGCGACTGATTTACGAGCTTGGCTTTGACTGTAAAGGGTTCTTCAGGATTGCTGAGTATCGCAGAACTGTCTTTAAACACTTAAACTGTTCTCAAGACCATAATAAATCAGTCTTTCCTCTTGTTATGTGTGCAACTTTTGGCCTAAACTAAGAAGACACACAGAACAGTTGAGAAGACAAGTTGGTTCTGCCTAAATGTTTAGTTCTTTAAATGTAGTGTTGTTGAATTGTGGCAGCAGCAGGATGCTGGATAAAAGATGATAAATTGTTAGGTTTCATTCTTATTGAATCTCAACATGCACAAATCTCACACTGGTAGTAATTACCTTCTTTTGCCTGTGTTCTTAGTAGATATAGTCAGTAGAGGAAGTACAGACTGCTTTTGTAAATAGAGAAAGACTGTTACTGAGTTTATTTAAAAAGTGTTTTGGTTTATGTGTTTCTCAAATAGGAAATTAACTGAGAAGTCTCCTGTCTTTCAGCCTGATCTTTCAGTTTAGGAGGACCACTTTGTTTACCTTTCTCTGATGATGGTGAAAATCAGTCATAAACATGAGATCACAGGTTTCTAAATTCAAGCCTATCTAAAGGCTCCTAATTTGTATTTTTAAAAACTGAGGGCCTACCCTTCTGAGAACAGACCCATTAAGGATCTTAATGTGTTCTCAAGAAGTAGATAAAATTACAATTTGACTGCAAACATCATACTTTAATACACTTTAAAAAAATTGAAATCTAAGTAAGTCAACTTTTTTTTTAATAGCTGCATTTATCTATTTATTCTTGAATTAAACCGGTAAGTGAGATACCTCACATTGGAATGAGACAATTTACATTTAAAATACTGATTTTTAAGTTTATAATCTATTATCTAATTATCTTATTTTTAGGTTAAAAATACTGATTCAGTTGGCAGATCGTCTTATTTACCTACTCAATTTAAGGATAAACTTAAAGACTTCTTTTAAGAAATGTTAGATTGTTTTTGCATTAAATCATTGTTTCAGATGTTAGAATGGATTATTTTAAATTAAACAATTGTATAATGTTAAGTTTGAGAGACTCTTAACTGGCTTGTTTACAATTTTTCTACACTTAAAAGGGATAGATATTAAATCTAGGGTTTGTTGTGGATTTTAAACTATTTAAATTTTTATACTATTCTACAAAAGGAAAAAAAAACTAAAAAAATTTAGAAAAATACCTGATCCAGGAGCCATACAACACAATTATGGTTACGTTTCCTTTAAGCCTTCTAAATAATTTCCTTTTATTTATGTTTTTTTTACCTTATATAAATCAATAATATCAGCTTGAACATATATGTATTGTGAGCTCAAATAACATTATAAAGATATCTAAACATGCAACATCCCTTAAACAGCTTCCAAAAAAAAAATGAAAATGCAAGAACCTACCGGTATAACATTTCTAAACAAGTCAGACCAGTAGGCTGAAGAATTTAGTCAGCACCTTTACCTTTATTTAATACGACATTCATCTTCCTGATGTTTACATGCACATTGTCACTCTGCTCTGCTGTTTTTTTGCATCTGTAATTTACTTAACATTAACGACGTATGCAAATGCAATAAAGTGAAATTCAACTGAAGGTGCTGATTTCCAGCATATCCCTTCTGACACACAATGAATGACATGTGTGACATTTCAATAGTAACCATTCCCACCAAAAATACACACATTCCCTCCTAACTGCTGTATAATTCTTTACATGTGTAAACATTTACAGTAGTACCCTACACTGAAAGGGTTACATTGTGCTGGAGGAATTTTACATTTCCTAAAATGAGAACCAACAATTTATCTTTGCAGAAACTGTGTATTTTAATGATGTCACATTTACTTCTCTTATTTTATATGACTGATGTTGTGCTGAATGTTGTTCCTCTTAGGAACATCACTAATTGCCTCATATTTCTCTAAGAACATGTCGTCAGGCCTATTTCACTAGTAACACAAACTTATCGCTGAACTAAATGAAAGCCCCTGTCACAGTGATTCCAGCATTTTGGCCACTTCCTTGAATTGCTTTGGGACGTTATGCTCCAACACGTGTTTAGAAGACAGATGAACAGTTAGTCCAGTGGTTATATCATATCTCCCAGAGAGACACATGTTTACAGGACACCAAAGAGCTCTAATGAAGTCATCACCAAGGAAAATGTTGGGATAGGCCCGCAGCAAGTATGTGTATCAGACGCCAAGTGCCTCTGTACAGTGATGAATGGCTGCAG